GAAAACCCCAGAGAAGGCAGGACAAGTCCACTCTGACACACACACACGGTCACTATGAATCAGAATGGACTCACCAGCACTTGGGGGGGTGGTGGCTGAGCCACCACAGCAGAAGAGAGCAGGGGTCATTGAGAAGGGGAGAAGGGGACCCTGAGGCTACAGATCTGCAGACTACCTGTTCCAGAAGTCAGAGCTGGGAGGGCTGACGTGGGACCCAGCTCAGCTCCAGCAACAACACTACTACCACCACCTCCACTACCACCACCACCTCCTCCACCATCACCACCACCTCCACCACCTCCACCTCTACCTTCTCCACCACCACCTGCACCATCACCACCCCCACCTCCACCTCAGCCTCCAGCCTCCCCTCCTGGGTCTGGAATGGCTGTGGCGGCAATGCTACATTCCCAGACTATCCCTCGGAGCCTCCTGTGCCCCACAGCGGGGCCTGGGAAATATCAAAGCCAGCCCCCACGGAGGCCCCCTGTCCTGAGGTCAGTTCACAGTAGGTCCTAGTTAGAGCCTGGCTGGCGGGGCCGACTTGAATCTGCTACCAGAGGCAGGGAGAGCAGCCAGTGGGCCTTCTCCGAGCCCGGTCACACCATGCCGCACCCTCCCGGGCCTTGGGGCTCCTTGCCTGGGAGGCTGGCCCAGAGCTCTGGTAGGTGCCTGTGTCGTCTGTCCGGAGACAACCACAGTGTCCCCAGCATAGCCATCTGCATGGCTTGTGGGAGGCGCCGTTGGTCTACTGTGTCCTTTGGGGGCAGATGGGCAGGAGGGTGGACAGCCAGACTCCATGAAAGGAAGGGTCTGGGGCATATGGCGCTGTTTTGGGCCCTCCGTGGGTAGCAACAAGAAATGGCGGGCAGCAAGGATGGGGAAGAGGGAGGAAGACTTGCTTAAAGGTGGCAAGTCGCTGGCACGTGCTATTTCTGTTCCCCCTCCCCCGACACTTGAGGACACCCCCAGGGAGAGGCCTTCCCTAGCGACCCACTCATCCTGGGCTCCACCATCCGCTGCCCTACAAGCTATCGCTTCTGCAGCTCCATGCTTGAACTCCAGAGCAGGCCCCGTGGGCTTTTCTTGGTTGTAATCCTGACCAGAGGGGGTCACCAGGCCTCTCTCCCTAAGTCTGGCTAGATGGATCCGAACCATCCACCTTCAGTTCAGTTGGCAGGCAGAAGGAAGCCTTTCTTGTCACCCAGAACCCTCCTTCTGGGAGACCCAGGACCTTGAG